TGAATCGGTTGTAGACACTATTAGGCAATTATTTGATCACAATCACCCGTTTCTCACCAGTAATTGCTATGCTAAGGCCACACTCCACAGTGGCTGTCCACGGCAGTTTTCCTGCCTCTCCCCACCCCAGGGATTTCGGAGGTGTTTTTGTGGGGTGGCTGCTGCCCTTGGGGTGTGGAGAGCAGGCCAGCCCCGTGCGCAGCGGCGGGGCAGCCCAGGGCAGAGCTGCTCAGGGGCAGCCCAGCGCGTCCCGGCCCCGCGCGAGCGAGCGCCCGAGCGGCACGGCCGCCCGCCTCGGCCCCTGCTGCACAGAGGCATTACGCTGCCGGGACAGCGTCCCCTCCAAACTCAAACCTGCCTAGAGCTCACTCAAGCATTTCACACAGCACCCTGCAAACTCGCTTCTCGAAAGTCTCAGCCGTTTATCTGCTTTTATTTTGCATGAGCAAAGAGCGCAGTATTAGGCCCTAACGACTCTGATATCATCAAAAGCAAGAAAGAAAAACAAAACCAGAAGCACGTCTCACTTTGACTGAGTGTCAGAAAAAATGACTATCAGCAGTTTGAATTTGGCAGGAATGTTCAAGCACTGATGTATCTATCACACCCCCTCGTGCCTTCACTCCGTACGAGACTGGCTGTGCTCCGGGCAGGACCGGCTCCCGCTTTACCATTCCACTGAAAGTGGTCACTTCGGCTTTTTGTTTTGCACTACGAGCTAAGTGGACAGTGTGTCCTCTGTCCTCTGAAACGGTTCCTTTGTCATTGATCAAATTCAAATGTATGCCTCAGCTGCTCTCTTAAATTCTCATCCATGAACTATGAAGCAGCAGTGGCTATCTGCTGAATTAAGTAGTTCAACTAAAAGAATCACATATATTGTTTCCAGTCATTGGACACTATGAATAGATTTTATGTAAAATTACTGGGAATGCATAAGCCATTTTGCCAAATGTTATGGAATTTCTTATCCCAAGCCCTGCGTGAAACGTAATTTATGTTCAAATACTGACAACTGAATCATACTAAGCATTTGTACAGTGCTTTACATATGCAAACTGCCATAAAACATTAATTAAGTAATAGATTCCCTAATGCTGAAAAAGTGCACTTACACCAGGCTCAGTGTGTTAAATATTTAAATACTGTCAATGCTTAAATACTATTTACAGAATTTCATTGTACTATGAGTTCAGTTATTGGCATAGCTGTAACATGCAATGGCTTTTTACATATGGTAAGTAGGAGTGGGAATGGTGGTTTGGTCTTTATCTACGCTAAACATTACTTTGAAATTTTACTTTTGCTACCGATATGTTATTTTAAAAATGAAGTAACAGTAGTAAGAACACAGCCTGTCTATTTGTAGACTCATGGCACATCTACTATAAAGAGATAACACTACAGTTTATTGGGGTTTTTTTAATGTTCTAGATGACTTTCACTCCCTTTTCACAATCTGTTCTTTCATCTTTGAGGACATGCAAAGGAGAAGCTTCGAGAAACACTCTTCATCCCCGAACCGCGACCTGCAGTCCCCCGGTAATGACCAAATTGCCTCTGCCACTGCCACATCCTGACTAACAGGCGAATCAGCCAAGCGTGGGCTGCTTGCGGGCTCCGAGGCTTGCAAGGGTAAGTTAAATCAAGTGAAACTGCTCTTCGGGTGAAGGTTTGATACACTATTAACTGGGGGTCACTTCAGCTGACTCTTTAATATAGGCAGGACTTCGAAATATATCATGAACTCCTTTGCAGTGAAAAATACATACTTTGGGCGTTTAGCTGTAGAGTGATAAATAACCTTTTCTAAAGGAAACTTTAAGAGCCTCTTGCCTCCAGGGGAGCTGTAAGAACTTGCACCAGAGTGATTTCAAAGGCTGCTGCCTGCGGCTGCCTTCCGGAGCCCTTGCTAGAGTTGCCAGTTCCCTTCCCCTGGCAGCAGCGGTAGCTGCCTCTGCCCACGGCCCAGCGCCCTGAGCGCAGGAGCAGCAGCTGAGCAGAGCAGAGCGGGGCGGTGCGCTGCAGGCTGCCAGCTGCCCCGTCCTGAATCCCCGGGGGGACGCGTGTGAGCACCTCGCGTTCCATATCCTGCAAAAGAAGCACCTGGAGTTCCGGGGGTCGCTGCATGGGGGGGCATGGCATGTCTGTGGCACGCTGTCCTGGGAACCCTACAGCCCAAACTGGATTTAACAGAGTGAGGATGGACACACGATGAGGCAGGAAAGCGTGAAGACAACAGCTCTCCTAAGACAAGACGGGGTTTATATAATGTTGTAAACGTGCTGTGTAACTGACAGTAGGGCTTTAGCCATATTGCCTATCCCACGGTTTAGGAATACCATTACAACAAGCATTTGCTTGATCTCTGTAACTGAAATCTTAGCAGATCTCATAACCTGAAGGATCAGACATAAATTTGGTTTCACCCATGAAGCTGAGGATCACCAGGATTGCAAACTTTCATTCTTCATCTTCGTGTCATCTTTAATTTTGCTTTCAAAAACATCTGCATTGAAAATGCAGCATTTATTTTCACCCGTTTCTTTGCAAAGCTTTTATTTTCACATCGGTGAAAAAAGCATTTGCATCCAGACACAACTTCAGAGCACGCAGCTTTTCTTTCTCAAGGAACTACAATCAATTCCCTTAAAATATTCCCTTACTGGTACAGACTAAGTACAGTCCATACCATTAAAAAAATGAAATGACCTTTGTCCCTGTAGTGATTGGAAGATCAAGAATTTGAGAGCATTACCGTGTGACTTCCTAAGTGCCTCGTGCGTTATAACTATGACTATGAAATAATCCATTCAGTTTTATTCACTATATAACAGTAAAGTTCATAATATCCTGGATATTCCTGGTCGGAGCCTCTGCTCTTTTTCAAGTGAAGCAAAACCCAGGGTGTATTTTCTGTGGAGCACATTCATTAGCGAGAATAGATGATGCCTTTGATTCCACGTTCAGCTCTCCCCTTCTAACAAAGCTTGTTTCTCTGAGATCACAGGTTTTTAGGAATTTGTTTTTTAAAAAAAATAGAGAGAAAAGTTAATTACCTATAATTAGAGCTTCTATAAGGTTTCTACTGATGATAGGAATAAATGGCTGTGTTACATCTAAAAGAAGAAAATTATCGCTTAATGAATTTGTCATTTGGATAGCATTTTTTTAATCATTCAGATCAGGGATGTTTGTCACTAAAGCCGCAACTTCACTTTTGTCTTCCCTGATGGTGCCTGCTAACTACAGAAGATGCGAGGAATTTGCCCCAACTTCAGCCCTTCTCCACAAATCCAGCTAAAAGCAGCAGCAGGTCTTTGCAGGGAGAGAGCGCCAGAGTGCGCGGAGGCAGCAGCGGCTGCGGGATGACCCACAGAGCGTGGCCCGGTGCGGGGGGAAGCACCCCATCCCCACCTCACAGCAGGCAGCACAGCCGGCAACGCCTTCCCTCGGCACCGTGCCTCCTGGAGGATGGCTGGATTTTGCAATGGTGTCTAGTCATCTCTTTTATCAGTGCTAGTGGTAAGCAGACTCGGTTTATCATTTTATTAACATATGTCAATCTTTTCATGGCTGCGCCTGCTAGCTCCATGCGGGGAACCGAGGTGGATCTCCATACAGAGGTGAGGCTGCCCAGAGCCCGGGGGCACGCGTTTGTCAGCGTGCTGAGATATTCTCACCACGCTCGTTACCGCAGAAGCAGCTAACTGCATTGCTGCGGTGGTGCCCAACCCCTACAGCTCCAAGCGGTCTCCTCCTCCTCAGACGGGACCTTTGGTGCTCAGCTGTCTTACGTGTACGGCCACTCTGTGCTCTTTAAGTCGTGGAGTTTTGTTGTTACTGGTTAATTTTGTTTATTGGTCAGGGAGATCGTAAGATTTGGCTGTAGCGAGCCTGAGTCAGCACCACACTGTATAAATGTCCCAGGTATTACGTGCTCTCCCCTTCCCTTCCTGGAGTCCCAGAAACAGCATTCAGCCCTACGCAGGGGGCACGACTCATGGTTTTGGGGTGGTATTTATGGGCTACTAACCGCAGCGCCCAGGTACTGACATGACTGCACACGTACCAGGTATGAATCTGGCTGACAGAGAGCGAACGCGGCTGACTCTTGCTAAACCCGGGTAACTGCACTACCTAGAAGCCGTTGTCCTTCTGCCTTACCCAGTTACCCAGCCAGCTGAGCCATGCTGGGAACAGCTGGATCGGGCCCTTCCCCACACCCCCCTGCCAGCCGGGGAGCGCCCCGACCAGCCACAGAGGAATCAGGATCGCAGGCGCTTCTGCTTCCAGTTAACCTACAGTGAAACTAAGTGGGAAATTATGATTTTTTTTTTTTACCCCTTCTTTGACAGCCTGCCACAGCAGTCCTTCCTGGGTGAAGGAAGTCTTTTCATATGAGAGCCTTTAATCAGGAAGAGTAAAAGAAGCTTTAAAATCATTATTTTAAGCAACACCGGTACAGAGTGAGTTCACGACACAGAGAAGAGGCACATTCCTTCCAGATCCCAGTGATCCTGAACCCTCCTCCAAACACTTCTCCAGGCTGTGCAGACCCCAAACTCTTCTTGCTTTAGGTCCTACACGCTACAGTGTTGGATAGTTTAGTTTCAAAAATCAACAATAAAAGACTATACTGAATTGATTTGTCACTGCAATCATGAATGTCCCAGAGAGTTTACTTTCCTGTTCCTGTGAATGTATTTGTTTATAGTCACAGAAGGACTCAATCTGATGTAAACTATGAAATATGTTGTTTACTGTACAAAGACAGATACCAAGGTACTAGTTAAGGATGAAATCAAAAGTGACTCTGACATATATATTTGCATTAGTCAGTCACCTCAGTGTCAGCATACCTGGCTGAATACTACAATGCTTCATTAAACAGCCTGTGAAAGCATCTAGAAGATAATAATCTGCTCAGAAACTTCTTATGTGAATCCAAACGTAAATGTGGCCAAACCGCACCACAGCGTACACAGTTTCCATTTTTGTCCAAAGAAGTGGCCATACATTAAAAGCAGGAACCAGTGGATCTGATGCATTTCTGACTGAAGAAAAGCTTTTCCCACTTCCCGTTTCCAGTAAGAAAACAAATTTGATATATTATTGTTTGTATGCAGCGTAGTTATTAACAGTCTGCCATAAAATGCAAAGACGTATCACAAGATTTGCAATGCGGTGTGTACTGTACTAATGCCTTGAAAACCAGGAGTCCAAATGCAAAATTTGCTGATGCTATCAAGTTGGTTGTCAGCACTGAAGAACAGAATTGGAATTTTAAGTGATTTTGATAAACTGGGTAACTGACAGACATTTATGCCTTGTATGTCACCTTTAATGGTGTATCTAGTTTTGTTAGCTTACCATTATACAAAAAGGATCTGCTCGAAGAGTGAAGTGGCCTGCAGGCTTCACTAATAGGGTGAAACCAAGCAAAAAGCCCTGAAGTACAGATGAAAACTGAAACTCTCTGACCATGGTGACGTTTTGTTTTGCTTAGTGTTAAAATGGCACATCTGTTTCATTGATACTAGGAGATCCTCAGAGTTCACCTCGAACAACCAAGAACTAGCCAAAATGAACAGAAGCATTAGTAGGATCAATGGGAATAGATCCGAGGACCAGATATCTTGTTACCTGTTTGCAAGTGGGACAGACAAGTAGAATGCAATTCTATCCTGGGGAATATGCTTCTTGTAAATAAAATGTATTTTTTCCCCAGTTACTATGGATCAGCTCCTGATACCATGTTACTCTCATTCAGATGTGATTGCCAGGTAAGGCACAATCCACCTGACAAAGAACTGTGGGTTCTGTCTCCACGACCCTACTGCAGGTCCCTCACCCGTGTGAAGTGACGGGTTACAAACAGAGTCAATTCACCTTTGAAGTAATTTTTAGTCTGGCCCTTCCAATATATTTTTCTCACGTGACAGGACAAGTTTAGGATGTGTTTTACTGGTGCACTTCGAGCAGAACAGTGCCACCAACAGAGGCAGTTACACTGATAAACTGCCGTTGGTATTCCTGCGGTGTCTTCTTACTGCAACTGCTTGTGACAAAAATACATCTACATTCAGTGAGTGATAATATTTTACATTTATTGTTGCAGTTACAGACTCTGGTATGCAGAAAGGCCTGCAGAAAACTCAGAGCAGTGGGCTTCCCCGCTGGGGCAAGGAGTCTGCCTGGCAAGAGCTGGCTGGGGGATGAAGCCCCGAGGGAGCAGCCAGTGTCGTGACGGGGCGTGATGATAGCCAGCCTTCAAAAAAATTCTCCAGGGGCTTGTGGTCACATCAGCATTCCTGACTGCCCTGGCTGACAACATCGAACATGGCTTACAGATCAAGCAGCATCAACATCACTTTGTCTTATCTGCTCATTCTCATGAGGTCATCTGTCAATACAAGAGAGGTTGTTTGTGCGGTGACTTGGCCTGAAGTCAAGCTGGGTGGGGTTATCTGCAGAGGCCAGGTGTTGCAAGACTCAGTTTGCTCCCACATTCACCTTAATCTGGCCCAGCAGCTGAAGGCCTGCAAGATGAAACAGTATTTAAGGCCGGTGACACAATCAGTGGTCAGCCACAATGATCCCTCCAACCTTGACCAGCCAGAAACAACTAAGCTATAAGCACCAGCCCTTTTAAAGCAATCAGAAAACATGGCATCTTGTTAAAGTTGAGGACTTCAAGAGATTTGAAGGCTATTGAGTCTGCAAGTAACTTATCAGTCTGAGCATAACATGGGTCTTGCTTTTCTTTCAAAAAACCCTTATCTCCATTGTCGATGCGTTTGCCCCCAAATTCCTTCCAAATACTCAAATGCAAGTCTACACACATATAAAGAATAACAATCAATGTTTAAAGTTGAATGTTTTCAATTACTCAAGACATAGCAAGAGAACTCTGCTGGTTGCATCAGAAGCCTATATGCTATATAAAGAACAGTGCAAGTTTCAGAGCTGAAATGATGCCATCTTTTCCAAAATCTTGTCTTACATATTCTTCTCAGATGACTGGAGAGTGCAATTATCCAACTGGCACTGAAATGGTTTTCGCTGACCTGCCATGTGGTCATCATCAAGGCTGCCAAATCTGGCACGGTTGTTTCATAAACTGCCATTGCCCATATGGCCACATCGCTTGCAGAGATTTGCTGACCTTGCAGTCTGCCTGCGTATTACAAAATAAAGCTCAATTGAGCAGGCCGTTCCTCTTGTCTAGTTTAATTTCTTTTCTCTTGCAGTCTTAAGGACTCAATCCGGGTGAGGCTGAGGGATCTGTGGCTTGCCTGCCTACGTGAGACCTAGACACATTCAGCTTCCTGGAGGGTCATACTGTGAATTTTTACAAGTTTGGACCAAGCGCCTAAAAATGGGTGCATTTTTTGGTGATCTTCTGCAAGTCTAATAATACCATCGTTCCGGAAAAAATGCATGTGGGGATAGATTCAGAGAGAGAGCAAAACATGCTTGTGTGGCAATTTTCTCTTGCACAGCTCTTGCCACAAAAGAAAAACAAAAGCAGGCAAAAGGCCTGGATGGTTACTCTGTACATGCATTTGGTTTTAAAGCTTTGACTGTTCATTGATTGCTGTGTGAACCTTTTTAAACCTGGAGACAAAAACTGCAGCTTCTCTTTTACAGCCACTGCCACCAGAGAAATGCTATTTTACATCTCCTTCGGTATTAACCAATTTGGCTCAGGAGCCTAAAGCATAAAAAATGGTAACACAGGACAGAGAACAGTCAGTCAGCTAATCCTTATCAATCTGTCAGGTAAGACGTGAATTTATACAAACATTCCTGGAGGCTGAATAAGTGAAGTTTTTCCATAACTCAGCTTGGTTTGTTGCAGTCAATGTTCCTAACTTGGCACCTCCCCTTTGTAGCCAACGTAAATGTTCACAGCACATAGTACCAAGTGGCAAAAAGGAGTCTTTGGGTTTAAATACATTCACTTTGCAAACACCTTCTGTGATTTAAGGTTCAGCTTCCTCCATTCCTCTTACAAGTGAACCTACGCTAGGGGCTTCAAGAAAGCTGGCACAAAAAGGGAGCTGTAGACAACCTCCTTGGAGTTCAGTGCAAGGTTAGCTCTCTCAGCTCTGGCTGGCAAAGGGCTGTTGGGCGACGCTGGCTCGCTCTGCACTGAGGCGGCCTCGGGAGCTGTCATACAGCTCCTGACGCAGGGCAGACTGTGGAGGCAGACATTTTCAGCCTCCAAAAGTCATCTCGTGCTCCATCTGAATCCACAAGCAGATATATTGCCCAGTCTGTTTTTAAAACGGAGTAAGAGAAATAATGTCAGGAAATGGAAAAAGTTTACCTTGACAGATGTGTCATGATAATTTGAGCTAGAAGAAAGCAAGTACTAGCAGCTATTAATTTCTTATTTGCTATTAGGGTTCATCAAAATGTTCCACAGAACACCGTTCAACAGTTATTTTGATTACATGACATTCTAAAGGGGAATTCCATGCTGTCCATTGAAAACTACAGACACCCTTAAAAATTAAAGCCTTTCATACCGTTTCACTATCTTTAAATCACATTTTCTTGTTAATGAATAAAATACCTATTTTTTATTTCTCCTGTTCTGGTACACAGGGGAAACAGGTTCACTTGTCTCTCCCCGCTACAGGCCCCTTCCTCACACCAGTTCCACATTACCTACATAATGGCTATGGACTCACCCATCACTCCAGGATGTTTGCAGGAATTACAGGCAGTGAAAAAGGAATGGAATACAGCCCTGGTTTTATCTAGGAAATCTCCTTCCATAGATGTACTCTCATTTTCTAAAATGAGAATGTGTTTCTCTCATTATTAGTTAGGGCAAAATTCCCAGATCTTAACTACCAGTACTTACAACCACAATTTTACACCACCAATCTGAGCTCACAGACAGACTGTTACAGTGATTCTTCACAGAAGGGAGAAGACCATAACCTGGTGACCTGCAAACACCACTTTCTGCTTCTCTAGGACTTCTGAAAATCTCCCATTTCACTTACGAAATATGATAAGATCACAGTTGAAAGTATTCATTCCTTGCTGCCATTTTACAGAATACTCTGTCATACTCTGCTCCTGGTCAGGAGATGGAGGAATTAAACAAATTAAAGAGTGAGAACCCCCCAAAATATATCTTCTTGCTGTATCTGAACGCTACTGCCAGCAGTTAATACTGCAACATGCTATAATGCCATGGGTCAATGAAGAAAATGCATTTTTCTACAAAAGGGTTTATGCTACAGACAGGAAGTTTGTTTTTTAAATTAGTCACCGGTTTCACTTCACGCTGATTATACCCTTTTCATTAACATACAATAGCCCTGTTTCCATGCAAGTGCTATCAAGATTACATTTATGGTTCCAAAAGCTGTTTCACTACACCTACACACAACTTGACTGCTGCACATAGTAACAGATGTGTTCTCTCTTTGTTTCCTATGCTCACCTAAAATCCTAATCTTCGTCACCTTTCATGTAAACTGCTCTGTGGTAAAGAGAAGGGGGGGTGCTAAGTAATAAAGAACACAGAAGTAGGCCTGAACTTTGACTATAAGCATCACATCTATGAATGGGATATAAACATGCCTTTGAACACATTCTTTATAAAGAAAAATAAAGTGGCATTATTATACCAATTCAAGTGAGATGAGAAGTAGTAAGTTCTGGCAGCACAGGCTAGTTTTTCAATAGTGATGAGATCTATGGCAGGAATTTTGATAGAAATAATGAACTTTTTCTTCTGTGTATGTGTCACCTTTTTATTTTATTTATTTATTTACACCCACCAGCAGCTGCTATTATTTCTTGAAAAATACAACTTGGCTATTCGGCATTTGGGAATCTTTCTGCAGAGGAAAGTGGGGCTTCATTTCCCAAAGACATGTACACTAGACTTGCTAACACAGACGGGCAGGAAAAGGATGACTCTGCATAAATCAGTTCCTACTCAGGAAGTAGCTGGCAAAAGGGAGACTGCTCAGCTGGTTGAGTCAGGGGAGAAACCAGCTCATGCTACTCCAAACATATCCAATTACAGCATTAAGCAGTACCTTTGGCCTGAGTCACTTAGCAATTTGTCTTATCAGTTTCTTTCTGATTATCTGGGTGTTGAGCAGATGGAACAGTTTCACTTACAAGAAAACTAGTCTGCCCATGGAATTACCCTAATTGACTATCTCATTTAACTCCATATGTAGACATTTTGATATTAGAATAAGAATACCTAATACCATTGGATTAAGATAAACAGACATTAGGCAGTCTTGTGTCAGATATGTATTCACATATAGAATTATCAAAAATAACTCAAGGAGCAGACAAGTTAATTATTATATTTAAATACTGTTGGAATGCCAGATTATTTTTGATGAAGAATTTTGAAAGGTCTTTTCTCTCTTATTCTTCCATAATGTAGAAGGTAGGAAAATAAGTGCTCTTGTATAGGCAACCACATAACCCGAACCCAGAAACATCCAGGGTTTTGCACAGCTTTCTGGGCAGAGCATGAGAGCAGAATACTTTATTATAGCAATATATTTTATTTTCTTCTGATCAGTATTTAGGGTTACTGGTATGGAAAAAAAGGAAGGATGAAGTAGAAGAAGATGGGAGGACAGAGAACTTCAACCCACCATTGCCAGGGTGCTAACAGATTTTCAGAAGGAGTCAGCTGCTTCCACTGTTATTCTTAAAACTAATTTATACCCCCCATGTAAATCTTTCTTGCTGATTTTTGGTTAAAGCTTGCCAGCAATTTTTTAGGACTGAGGACTGAGTCTCTCTCTTTCGCAGTGCTGACTGCACCACCACTGCTCAACAGGAACAACCCAAACTAAATAAGGAAAACTGAAGTCATTGTTTTAGAACAAGAGACACACTGAATGTCAGTGCCAGTATTATTAGACACTGTGGTGACAAGTGTAACCAAAACCACTCTTAGTTACTGTTAAAGGGGAGAGGAGGTTTGATTGATCAAATAGCCACATGAAATCTTTAAAATGCTATTGCTTATCCAGTAGTTATTAAAACCTGCAAATACTTTAATATGCAAATACTTCAATTTTTGTTCTTAGAAGGTCATCTTCTTCTTTGACCCCCACTAACCTAAATCATCCTGCTGGTGAATCCAAAATAAAGACTTCTTTGTATACCACTGAATTAAAAACTAATGTAGGCACAGAAATCTTGCTCAATTTCATATATTCAAAATGAATAAACATTGAAAAATTTCTCCAGATTTGTCCAATGCCAGAAGACACCTAGTACAATTCTGTACTTTGAGATTATTTCATCTTTTTAATAATTATTTTCCCTTTACCTTATGGTCTACTGATAACATTAATGTCACACACTAACAGTAGGGGAGTAACAGGATATCATCTCTTCCTCAGATGATTCTGAACCTTCTCAGTTTAACTGTTTTATACTGGATTATGAACCAGTTAAGTCATTAAAACTTAAGTGAATTGTAACATATGTCTATTATACCCAAGGAACATCTCAGATTATAGGAAGTCAAATGCGTGCGTGTGGTATTCTTAGACCATGAGTCCCCTCAGGATTGTCTCAGCAGCAGTGCTAAATTAAGACGTTCTTGGACCCTTCAGTTCTGCTGGAAACGAGGATCAATTCCCCGTTCAGCTCGTCGCGTTTGGCCCTGGTGGCGCACAAGCAGCTAAGCAGAACCCACAACAGAAGGGCCTATTCTCATCACAGATCAGCTGATTGTTGTAGGGCCCATTTACACCGTGGACCTAAAAACTGTCGCTGTACAGCCAGTAGCAAAGGCAAGTATCAAGTCCATTAGTTACCATTGCCACAGAAGAAAGGAGGGAAAGAAGTAGTACATGGAACTGCATCTTCATGTTGAAATGGAAGGCGTTATAGAAATATATGTTATGAAACTATTATTGAAATCACTTTTATCTGACAAAACTTGAACGTCAAAATACGACATTCAGTATTATTTGTAGCCTTAAAATTCTATCATCACCATGCCTAGCTAGTACATGACAGAGCACTATGATCTCAGAAGAGTCTCTTTCACAGTCACAAAAGCTTCCCACAAATTAATAAAAATTATTTAAATGAGTAGTCACTAACAGAAGCCAGAGAAAATCTGAATGAAGGCTATCATCTCTTTCCACTTGAGCATTGCTGTTTCAGATTTCAGATACAAGCACATTCAAACGTTCGCCTAATTCTGAGCATATTTTCAAAGTGCCTGTTTCAAAGCCGCGCGTTTGCTACAAATTCCAGCTCTGTTCCATTTACAGAGCTCAGGCCTTCCAAAATTCAGAAGCATTCAAATGCTACGCAGGACATATCTTGCAATTCAGCCCATTCCTCACATCATTTTTCTGTTTCATGGGTACAGCACAGTTTTTCTATAAAACACTCATGCCTAAATAAGCTCAGTGGTACTTAATCAGATCTCAGGAGACTGTATATCCCTTGCTACATTGACCTTGGCTGGGAGTTAATCTCCTAGCTCTAAGTGGTTTGACTATGCCTCTTTAAAGAAGGCCTACCCAAGGAGCTGGCTAGAAGAAGGCCCCTTCATTAACACTAGAACATCTTCAACTATTTTATAGTGCTAAATCTTCTTGTCATCAGACACTGACAAACTTTCACAATACCGGAATTTTAGAGATCATATGTGTTACCGATTTAAACACTTAAGTTTAGTCTTTGCCTATAAGTGCAATACATTTTGGGGAACAAAACAAACTAAAACACACTGCTTTATAGTTCTACAATGCTGATACATGTACAAAGAAAGGTAACTATAACAGAAGCAGCTAATGACTTGATCTTTCTAAACTATGCAAAGAAATAATCTTAGCTTCTATGAATAGTTTTACTGAATGAGCAGGGTTACTCAACAGAGGAAAATCTAGTCATCTATGTAAATACTGTATGGTAAACTGCTTAGTAACTAAATTTATGCTTTTCAGATGATTTTTGACATTTTTAAGATAGTATCAAATTGTCTTGAAATTGGTTTTAAAATATGCTTGATCGTTTTGAAAAATCAAATTAATACTGACAATAGTCTGATAATTATATTTTGTCTAGATTCTGCTGCATTGTAATGCTTTCATGTCGCCCAAACAGAGCTTGTTTCAGGACAATTTTTGTTTATTCCTGAGAGACTCTAAACTGCAGTACCACTCATGAAGTACAACCCAATATAATGTGTGCTTCATAATTCAAAAATGATGTGCTGAATACTCTTGTGATTTATTTAACTTAAATGTCTAAACCCTTAACCAGGGATTTTCAAGCTTTTCAACTTGGAAATCCCTTTAGTGGTCTGCAGCCATGCACAGAAAATTTATTTCTAACAAAACCAGACTTGCTTCTTTTAGCTACTTCCCACAGACTCCTTGCTATTATTTCACAGACTCCAAATTTCTAAAAGCAGTACTGCAGACTAGCTACCTACCTAGAGCTGGCTGATAACAAGAGAGATTAAATTAATATATGTGGTAGAGGACTGGGACTTGAGAAATAATATTCCATATTTAAACTCAACAGCATAAAGATGATTTGTTACTTTGAACACAATGCATTTCCTTCTTCAAAAATAGCAGCAATTAATAGCATAGTCTAGAATGAAAAAAATATATAGATTTTATTCTGTCGCTGAAAAAAACCCACACCACAATTATTAAATAGACTGGATTTAAACCAATATTACAGTTGTGGGGTCTTTACAAATTCAGCTACCGCCAGGTTAGGGGAAAGCACAATCTGAGTAATTTACATGTGAGTTTGCTATAGTTGTTACGGAGGTAAGCAAATCCCCATTGTACCCAAACCTTAGAGCAGTGTAAGCAAAGTGTGTCAGCAGAATGAGAAAATAAACTATTTTCACAGTGATGCTGTAGCCTTTCAACCAATTTTTATAGCTGTTTTTAAAGATAACTTTGCAAGTGCTTGCTGGCTGGTGACTGGTTTTGCCTGGCTTACACAAAGGTAGGATGTACTAGCTCTGCCTCGGGGGTACTTCTGGAAGGGGGAATCAGAGGGACAGTGAACTGAGAAACAGGAAAAGGTGGGGAAAGGACTTAGAAGCCTCAGAGCGAGCCAAACCCAACATCTGTGAGTGAGCTGAGCAGTCATTGAGTGGCAACTCCTTCACACAACAGGAGGTTATAAGTACTCAGAGAGGTCTTTTTCACTTTTTCAAAGAACTGTAGTACTGCTCTGGAAGAAAGACGGCCTACAGGTTTGCCATGAGTTAAGGTAATGTGGTTTGCAGGCAGAATCGAGAACAGAGATAAGGCCAAAGCCCAGCCCTTGGGATTCAATGTAAGATAAAAAAGCTGATCAGTCTCCAGACTGACCTGAACAGCACCTTGAACTAGCTCAGGATTAGCCCACAGCTGACAAATTTTGCAGGCAAGTGAGAAGGCTGCGCACCCGGGAGAAATCAGGCAGAGGCCGGGCAGAGCAGCATCCCACCCGGGGACCCCCAACTAACAGGTCCAGGGCACGGCCACACCTACAGACTGAATAAAGAGAGTGCCGGGCTTCAGATAGGGGATCTATTTAAGAAAGTTTAAACTGTTGCCCACTCCACAGCAGGGTTGCTGTGATACAACTTGTGTGTTCCTCAAGAGAGGCTTCATTTGCAGGGAATTGCACAAGCAGTAGCAGAGGGGGTTTAGTTGAAGCTGCTGAAGATGGGGGAATCACCAGAGGTGCAGTACTCACCATCAGGATCAGTGCAAATGCAGTACTTGCCAGATGACCACAGGGATGCAGCACAGCTATATTCTGTAAAGCGAATCCCCACAGTGAATTCTGGAAAAAATAATTTAAGTAGAATTTAGTCTCTGTGAAAACTGTTCAGGAATAACAGAATACTGCTTACAAAACTTATCTCAAACCCTTTTCTCTTTGTCTACCACGGCCTGTTTCCTCAAGTACGGTGTTTAAATTAGGTCGGTGAACAAGAAGGTGTGGTAGAAAGGACCTGCATGCCACAACTACTTGAATAAATACTGAGAACAGTGAAGAATTGGGTAGGATATAAAAGCAAAGACTGGAGGGTGCCAAAATAACTAATGATATTTTCTTGAAAGGAACATCTGATTGATTGAAAGCCCAAGGAATGACTTCTACAAACAGTGGCAAATAGCCAGTCCCCGTGACTCAACCCCGCCGGGCTCAACTGCTGCTGGTGGGCCACGAAGCGCCAACAGCCTCAACATCTGACAGTTACCGCATCTTCAAGCCGAAAGATCAGCCGGTCCCAACTTGAGGTGGACGGGGAGAACGCCGAAGCTGAGGGGGGCTGGAAGGGGCTGTGGTCACGGCCCCCCAAGTCCGGGGGGCTGCCCTTGCTACGGGCCAGCCGGCTCCAGCCGCGCCCCCCAAGGAGCCCTGGGGCTGAGGGAGCTGTTCCCACCGGGGACGGTTTATCCCCAGCGGGGAGCGGGCACCGTCAGCCTCAGGAGCCAGCTGGGCAGAGGGAGAGGGGTCGGGGAGCCGAGGGGGCAGCCCGGGGACCCCACCGCCCGCCCCGGGTGAAACGGGGGACCCGTCCCCGGGGCAGCGGGCGGGATGGTGGCAGCCGGGGCACCCGCCCTGGCGAGGGCCGATAGGGCGGCAGGGCCCGCGGGGAGGAGATAACCGGGCAGTGCCTCACACCGATAAAGGGGCTGGAGCTGCCGGTCCTGCCGCCCTTCTCCCGCGCAGGGCGCGAGGACCCCGCCATGTTCTACCCGCCCCGCTCCGCTCCTGAGGGACCCCCGCCATCTTCTGCCCGCCCCGCTCTTGAGGGACCCCCCGGCGGGAGGCGACGGGGCGTGGCCCTGCGCGCGCGGCCGCCCGCCCTCCCGCCGCCGGGAAGCCCAATGGGGGGCGGGCGGCGGCGCGCCGCAGCCAATGGGAGAGGGGCGGGGCGGGGCGGACCGTGGTAGCGCCGTCCCGCCGCGGGCGCCGGTAGCGGCGGTGCCAGCCTTCCTCCTCCTCTTCCTCCTCCTCCTCTTCCTCCTCCTCCTCCTCCTCAGCGCCCGCCTCCCCCCCCGCCCTCCCGGGGCTGGCCCGGCGCGGCTCCGTGAGGCGCGGCCGCCCCTTCCCCCGCCCCGGCGGGCCACAGCGAGCGCCCGGCGGGGCGTGCGCGCCCCTCCCGCCCCCTCCTCTCCTCCCCTCCCCTCAGCTCCCTCCTTCCCTCTCTCCGCCCGCCGTGAGGGCGGGAGGGCAGCGGCAGCCCCGAGCGGGAGGCGAGGGGAGGCGGCGCGCCGGGAGCCATGCGGGAGTACAAGGTGGTGGTGCTGGGCTCGGGCGGCGTGGGCAAGTCCGCCCTCACCGTCCAGTTCGTGACGGGCTCCTTCATTGAGAAGTATGACCCCACCATCGAGGACTTCTACCGCAAGGAGATCGAGGTGGACTCCTCGCCGTCGGTGCTGGAGATCCTGGACACGGCGGGCACCGAGCAGTTCGCCTCCATGCGGGACCTCTACATCAAGAACGGGCAGGGCTTCATCCTAGTCTACAGCCTGGTGAACCAGCAGAGCTTCCAGGACATCAAGCCCATGCGGGACCAGATCATCCGGGTGAAGAGGTACGAGAGGGTGCCTATGATCCTGGTGGGCAACAAGGTGGACCTGGAAGGCGAGCGGGAGGTCTCCTTCGGGGAGGGCAAAGCCCTGGCCGAGGAGTGGAGCTGCCCCTTCATGGAGACCTCGGCCAAAAACAAAGCCTCGGTGGACGAGCTCTTCGCGGAGATCGTCAGGCAGATGAACTACGCCTCGCAGCCCAACGGGGACGAGCAGTGCTGCTCCTCCTGCGCCATCCTCTGAGGGCGGCGGCGGGCCGGGGGCTGGCGGCGGGGACACGGCCGGCGGGAGCGGCGGGGGGAGCCGGCGGCAGCGACTGGGCGGCCCGGGCGGGGCGGCGGCACCCGCCGGCCCCAGGCGCGTACACACACCGCGAAGGACACACACGGAGAGAAAAACAAAACAAAAAAAAAAAAAAAAAACAAACAAACAAACAAAAAAAACCCAAAACCAAACAAAAAAAAAAAAAAAAAGAGAAAAACAAAAAAGAAAAAAAAAATCTCATCAATCATCATCGTCGTGTTGGGAACGTGGCTTTTTTCGGCATGTACGTTTCGTCCCGTCTTGGTCGTGGCGTATCTCCCGCCGGGGTCCGCCCGGCGCGGGGCAGGAGGGCTGCGGCCGGCAGCGCCCGGAGGAGCGGGGCCCCGCCGGGACAGGCGCGGGGGGCCGGGCGGGAGCGGGCCCCGCCGCCCCGCCGATCTCTATGCAAAGCTGGGCGGCTGCGCCGGGGCGGCCGGCCGGGGGAGTTGCACATCTGAACTGGGAACTGTAACTCTGGTGCCAGTGCAGCGTGGGGTGCCAGAAAGCGTCCGCTGATGATTCGAGAAATAATTTTCTATTTTGTTTACCTGCTGTATCGGATGGGAGTTTGCAGGAGAGTGGTAGCGTGTTGGGGTTTTTCCTGTTTTGTTTTGGTTTAAATCAGCTGTGAAAATGTTACAAACCTGCACAATTTTCTAGGTGTGCGTGTGTGTGTGATTTCGTTTTTATTTTAATTTTTCTTTGGCGGGTGGGAGCGGTGGTGTGGTTTGTCTCGAGGGTTTTTTTTCTTTTTAGGTTGGCAATAACTGATTTTGATGACTAGCTCTCTAAAGTGCAAAGACTTTCCTATACGTGATGCAGGGCCAACAGCAACCCTGTGTCTGTAGAGTGCCTTCAAAACTCAGCTGTTCCAGCCGGTGCCAACCTGTGAAAGCTCCACAGAATCCCATTATCTACTACTCCAAAAACTACTTAACAGTTTCCTTGCAGTAATCATACTGAACAACCCAGGACAAAAGGGCCTATTGTTAGTGGAATTTATTTCTTATTTCCATCTGAGCCTTTTAACTGTAATTTCCATGTCTTGCAAGTTCAGGCTTAATTTACTTCAAATTTACAAGAATTTAGCCTTTTGGGATTTTGGGGGGGTGGTCTTTTTTTTTTTTTTTTTTTTCCTTCCCCTTTGGTTTTCTTGTGAGATGTACCTCCAGCCAGCAAAGAAAGAAATCTTAATCGTTGTGATGTACCAAGAAAATTCTAACAACTGTCATTTTAATTCCAGACACGCATTGAAGAGATGTCTATCCATTTTAAGAATTTTAATACAAATGCTGTTTTTTAGAAAACAACTTTGTGCGCTTTTATGTATTACATGAAACACTAACTTTCACATAGGTTATTAATCCTGATTTATATCTTAATAGAAATGAAAGGTGTGGAGGGGCTCGATTTAGCTAAGGAGAGTGTTTAAAAAAAAAAAAAAAAAAAAAAGACAAACACAAGGTTGCTATTTTACCTAATATTTAGTCATTTTTAATAGAGGTTTTCATTTGTGTTTAGGTCCTGACCCTGTGAGATGCCAGCATGTGAGTGGGACGCAGTTCTCAGTAGGCAGCTTTAGGAAGGTAGCGTTGCTTTTAATGCAAAAGGCCTTGAAAGATTAGGCCCTTATTCCTTACTGGGAACAGCATGATTTATTGGGGTAAAATACTAAAGGTTGATTACTTATAAAATTCAAGCTTTTAATCTCATTGCATTATAACTCTTTAAAATTATGCACCAGACCATTATTTCTTTCCTGGTTTGCAGAGGGGTTGAGGTGACCTGTACCTTCTGTCATTTGGAAGAGCTAGGGAATTTGTTTACCTCCATTATCTTTCTATCTTACTTATTTCTTTAAAGATTAGCACGCAAAACTTGCAACTCTTCTCCCCCCATATCCCAAGAAGATTTGAAATTCTTTTGCCACATAGAAGCAAAAGTTCTGCAATGATATGTGAAGAAGTTTTTAATCAGGCCAACTGAAAACTAACTGCCATGATTCCTACTGTGAATCTGGTAATTATTCTATTTTAAGTAGGTAAACTTTCTTCTTCAGCTCTGGAAGAAGAGTGTTTAGTATTAGTTTGAATCTATGTATTGAAATCCTAGTGATTGAAATTAAAATTATAATCTTGTGGTTTAGTTGAAAATTGGATATTTATTTTAGCAACATCCAGTATCTGCTGAAAATTTGGAAGAGATTATTAAGTACTGAACATGAATTGTCTCCTGAGCTCACATGTATCTTTCAAGACAGTGAGGACCTGTTCTGATACAGTCAGTAGGGTTGTATTGGTCAGACCGATACAGTCACAGTTAAAAACAAAGAGGGTCAGAGAAGGCAATCCTAGTGACGGTCCCTCAGCTTCTGCTTGGGGCCTTCGTGTAACAGACAGCTTGATGCAGCCCCCCATTTTTAAGTGAAAACTGAAAACCTTTGCAGCTTACCTTCCAGAAGTTTCTAAAAATGAATTGGAAGCCAGCTGCTCAAGGACTTCCATGTTAGAAGGGCAGGGGAATAATGCTTATTAATAATAGGGGTTTCTTTTAACAAAAATACTGTGTTGAAACTAAGAAAGCTGGACTGCCTCCATGTCTGCAGTTCAAAAAATTTAATGTCTAAAGCTTAAAAAAAATGGCATAAATTTACATCTCAGCTATTGCTATTGTTCAATTTTGCCTTAAATTTAATGGGATTATACAGTGTTTAGCACCCAACAGGCCTTGCTCTAGATGAGTGTATTGAAAGCAGCTTGTTCCGCTTCATAAAAAATGGTATTTATTCTGTTCTCCCCAACAGACAGCAGATTCTTCATGTTTTCTAGTGCCTCCTGTTTCCCTACTGCCCGTGTTGTGATTGAGGAATGATGCAGAAATGGGTGTTTGCAGCACACAGCGGCACATAAAGTCCAGTTTTTCTCAGTCTAGCAGAGCAGCTGAAGGCAGCCTAGTAAGTTCTGGATCGTGCTGAGCTTTTTTGTAGATACACTCTAGTTCTTGCCAAAAAGGTGTGTTCATTAAACAGTGAAGGATTTAAGAAACCATGGCATGGGTCTAGTCAGAGTTTTGAGTGTATTTAGATGTTCAGTGTTCTCTATGACTTGGTGAGGACTGTACAAAAAATAGAGCTCGGTAGTCTGATCTTCCAAATACTCTGAAGTGTTTTGGTGCTTGTTAAACATAGGCCTTGTCTATAAGGTAGAAAAAAGTCATACTGCTTAAACTTGACTGAATAATGAAAGCTATATTAGCTTCTACACTTGAGGAAAATGTTGTATCAATATAAAGGTACTCTTTTAGTCCTTTTCCCTGTGGGAATATGTTATACCCGTGTCAGTACAAAGATGGTATATAGCTCTCTTCACAGTGAGAATTGCAAATATTTAATGGATTTGGAAGAAAAATTACATTCCCAGCCAAAATACTTCCTGGCAGTGCAGAAATTGTGTAAACAAGGCCTTGGTTTAAGGCTGGTCTTATGGCCACATATTTTGCTGTACATAATGATTGTATTTTTTAAAATTCAAGCTTGTTCTATTGCAAGAAAGTGTGTCTTTGAAATTCTAGTCTCTGTGATTGTAACTGTGCAGTATTCTCGACCTCATTTTCAGTACAAGTGTGGTTCTTCTCGCCGTGATGCTCAGGCTTTACTGATGCTTATGGTTCTGGAGATGATGTTGAATTCTGTGGCTGTGGGATTCCTGATGGTTCTGATTCTCTCAAAACAATGTATGGCAAGTTTTTTGCCAAGGGCATTTTAAATAAAGGGCAGCTGGCTCTTTATGACTTCTTCATTTGGATACTCATTGCGTGCAGGTGGTGTTAAATATCAGATTTCCTTGAAAAGTGACAAAATGCAGAAACTTCCCTTTTCTATTAAGAGTTTTGTGTGAAAAAGTGTGCCATGTGTGTTCTCTTCAATCTTCTCTCATTCACGTTAATGGACAACTCCCACGGCTGCATATGGAAAACGGTTGGGGCTCTGCAGCTGTTGGAAGCTCTCTTACTCTCCAGGTTTGTATAGAAGGCAACCCAGACACTCTTCTTGATAGACCTTCACTGTATCTTTGGGAACTACTGTTTGGAGTGCCCGTTCACGTTGTGGTGAGATTTGTGACTTGCTGGAGAAGCAAATACATGTATCAGCTCTGTTCAAAGGTGAAATAGTTTTAAATAATGATCTTCATAGCTTATAGCCTGCTCCTATAGTGTTTATAGCCTCAAGCAAAATGTCTATGTGAAAAAGGTCCTCCTTCCTGTCACACTGTTATAGCATGGTGCTCTAGAATCCCATTTTTGTAGGAATCCAACACCTGCCCAACTTCTAAAACTTTATTTGGGGCTGACAGTCTTTGGTAAATGTGTGCATAGCAGATGAGAGTGATTCAATAGCAGATTTTTAATTCAAACAGCTGAAGATGTTCAAGTGAGTTGCAGTGGTGAGAAATGGAGTGGAAGTGCATTGCTGGGGCTGGGTGTGTTGGGTTTGGGGGTGTTTTTTGTTTGTTTTTGTTTTTTAATTTGAGTAGACTAAGGGTTTGTTAATCTGTAATCAAGAATCTCCCTGTATTTCCCAAGTAAGAGTCACTGTGTGTGTGGATGTGTGTGTTCTGACTTCACTGGGGTTGGGACTGACATTCTTGCCCTTACCACAGATGATCTCAACCTCTGTGATCTCAGCTCTGCGTGTAGTCAGTATCACACTGAAGAAAACGCCCAGTGAAACCTGAACTGGTCAACTGATAATGGGCTAGAGCAGAGAGATTTACGTGCAGAAAGCTGAAGAAGAACCATTAACATTTCCCTATCACTATTTTAAATGTTTTAAAGATTATGGCTGCTCTAATACACGTCAGGTGCTGCTTTACTACTGTCGATGCTAGAGCATAGTGATTGAGTAGGTGACATACTGTGTGTAAAGTACATACTATATGTGAATACTTAATGTGCACTATCTAACAAGGTCTTGGATCCTATATAAAACACTGTAAAATTAGAAGCCAGTTAACCAGAACTTGTAAGTTGTTCAAATAAGTCTTGAAATATTGGAAGCATCTGTTCTGTAATGACTTTGTTTTATTTTGGCAGTCTTTGGGTCTTTTGGAGGTTTGGGCAAAGAGGAGACTGATCAAGAATCCATAGCTTTGTTTTGGTAATCCTCAACAGAGAGAAATTTTTAGGTAAATGGTGTCTGACGTGTAACTTTAATGATTTAAGCCCCATTTATTTCTACAAAGTTCTTTAAGGAAACATTATTAAAAGTGCATGGTTAATAGATCCGATGTCCAGGTAAAAGACAGATCCCAGATGTTTATTCTCTGCTTGATTGACTGATTATGATTGTGCAAGAAATGCTGCAGCAACTGGACTGATCAGAATGACATTGCTTACTTTTTTTGCCTTTTGAGATAGTCCTGTTATCCTGCTGTATTATGATGCTAGGATGAAATGGGATGTTTGAGGTTGGTTTTGAGGATGGTTGTAAATGGACTTCTGGGGGAAAAACTAATCTAAAGTGGAAGCTGGTTCTTTTTTAGTTTGAATTGGGTTTTGAAAAAGGTACAGGTCAGCTTTTGTATCAGTATTCCCTGACCAGTTTCTCCTTTATGGGTATATTCATCTAATGCTTTGTTTCTGCACTGTTACTATTGTTATCTCAGTTTAAACAATCAGGTTGAATACCTATGAATTCAAGATATTTTGTTAGAGATGGAGCTGCAGGGAAGGCAGTGAGCACTGAGCTACTGTAGAATATTTGTATTTGCCCTGTAGTTTGTAGGCAAGGTATTCAGGTGTAGAGCCTGAGGTGGGTATCTGAAAAGTTTTCTTCTAGGGGTTAGAAGTGATCCACCTAAAAGTGTTCCTGAGAAACATGACTGTTGATACCCTCCTTGTGATAGCTTTTGTTCTGAGGGCTGAGAACAGATGCAAGGGTAAGATGCGTTTACTGTTGAATTAACCAGAGTTGTATCATTTCCCTGTCTTGCCAAGAGACCTCCAGGTTGGTAGTGTTCCTTCTGGCCGTGGTGTCAGCAGTCCCGAGGCGGGGAAGCGTTATGCTCTCCCGATGGGAGAGATCATTTAAGTTCCTTACTGCCTTGCTGCCTCTAAATAGTTTACTGCGTCTGTGACAGAGTTAGGAATGAAAAGGCAGGAGCAAGAGGTACGAGGGTGCGAGGGTACAAGCCAGGGAACAGGGGTGTCTAGCTGAGCCCCCTAGCAAAGCTGTGCCCCTTCAGCTCTGATTCAGCATCTTTCCAGCAAACATTTGCAGCTTTCTGCACCTCGGTTTCTCCAACTCCGTATTTTGTTGAAGTGTTGATTTCAGTGCAGATGAACTGATTCTGCATGAGCATTTGGCTCCGGACTTGCAGCACCAAAAGAAGTAAAGGAGGGAGATGGAGAGAGAGAGATTGAGGACACAAAGTGTGCAGAAAGGATGCTGTCACTTAAAGAGTATGTGACTTTTTGTTTCCTCTAAGACAGGCCTAAATATTGGAAGCAAGTTTTCGAATGCTAAGTGTCTAGCAGAAATCTTGGTTTAACCAAGCCTTATGCTTAAATCAGGAAAGATATGAAAAGCCTTTTGAGTCAGAGGTATGGTACTTGAATGATTTCAGAGAATTATCTTTAATTTTTCACCAACTTTGGTTTGTTTAAATATTCTAAGATTGATTTATTATTGCTATAGTTATCACTAGATAGAGGATGTGCTTAAATATGATTTAAGATTTATTTTAACTTAGTACTATAAATATCTCCATGCTGTAGGGATTGATAGACACGATGGGCATGAAGTAAAGGTCTCTATACTTACTGAAGGTCTTACGATAGGTAAAGAATCAGAAGATCCAGGCTTCTGTTTTCAGAAATGATGATAATGATGCAAATAAGAATGCTTAATGTAACTTTTTGACTTTACAGATGACTTCCCGTTGCTCAGGATGACAGTCTTTCAGACGGGAGACGATCGCCCCTTCTCCTCACTGCTCCATGACTGGCTGTGCCACTGCATTTTTTTTGCCTCTAGTGAGCGAACCTGTGTGATCCTTCTGCTGCCGTGGCTGTTCGTGAGACATGGGCTGACTTCGTGACTTCCATGCTCACTCGGAGCTCTGGCACTCTTCCTCTTGTAGGCTGCGTGGGGGAGGAGGGAGCCTAGATGGTGCAGTGATAGTGAAGTGATTACTTACCAAAACCCAGGCATGGGAAGCTGGCTCACCTCTAAACATGAGAGAGGGTGTATCCACTGTTGGAGTTACGCTTGAAACCGAGCATCCATACAATACATGCAGCTCCTTGTTCTCCAGCGTTACGTGTTTGCTACTGGTTTGTTTGGGGAAAGCAGAAATCCTGCGGGGTGAACGGGGACCTTACAGCGTACTCCTGTGGGCATCATACAGCAGTGGCGTCCGGCACGCGCGGAGGAAAGCACTGCAGCATTTTGAGGGGAAAATATGCACATGCGTTGTAGCCACGCTTGCTAATCCAGAAAGGTTGATTGAAAGTCTTCTGCAGGTATCCTGAAAACCATTTCTGTAGATGCATAAAATAGATACATGTTAGAGGTCAAAACAGTGAATCTAACTGTGTTTCCTAAGAAATGCATTATGTGACCTCTGTTCAAGTGCCTCTCCTGGATTGTAGTTTCTTCCCCTGGCACACCACCCCCAATGCAGCGATGGGGTCTGGTGCTTTAGGCTCTTGTGATCAGAAATTGAATGCGTGTTCAGTATTTTCCACATCTGTAACAAAAGTGAGCTTGGGGTGTTCCTGTGCATATACGTCCATGACATTCAGTGTATTGAACAATGCACCTCCCCTCCGTTTTTATGAGAGGGATCTAAGTGATCAGGAGGTTGCAGCGTAGGGCTAATAACACTGGCTGGGTAGGGCCGGAGTCCGCGGTGGAGGGCTGTGGTCTGAGTTTGTGGTGTGAGGCTGGAAGCGGGACACACGTTGCCAGGTTTTCTAAACGCCAGACATGATTTGTGTGGAAGGGTAGAAAGCAGGGTGTCTCGCTGAGGGGAGGGAGGGTTTGGGAGATGATGGGTTGAATTTTTCTGTTTCAGGTATAAAGAAGCATCATTCTGTGCGTGTATGTTAAGGATTTTTTTTTCCCCCCTGTGTGGCACTAAGCAGATTTGAAAGCGCAAAGAAAGTTTGCGCAATTGATGTGTTGCCCACCAAGGATGAGTTTGATGTTCTAAGTTTCTACTGAGTTTCATAGCTTCTCTACACTCCTAATCACCAAAGTCTCTTAAACTGTGTTGGAACTTCATAATGATGATGGTTACAATGTGACTGAAGGTAGCTGAGAGCCCTGTGTATTTAAGGATGAGATTAGTGATAAGTTCATTCCTTGAATGAACTACAGTAATATTATTTACCTCAACTTAGTATTGTGAGTTTGCTGCCAAGTTTACTTGATGATTAACAAAGTTAAGCTGAAAGCATGCTAATGAAATACTGGAGTAATGAAGTTTCTAATGTTTGAGATCTTGATTTCCCTCCTTTTCGGAATACTCTGCTGTCTTCCAGGTTAGTTGTCTATTTTCTGCTGGATTTCTTATTTCAAATATTATGTTTGCTGTAGTGGGGGGTTTGCTTTCTCTTTGGTTGTTGGATCTTTTGGTGTTTCCTTTAATTAAAGGAAAAAATAGAGAGGAGATTCACATTTGAATTACTGTATAGCACAAGCTGCCTAGATTCCAGAAATACATGTCATGTACTCCATGTATTTTTGCAATAAAAGCAAGTTTAAGGAGAACACTGTATGTTTAAGGTATTTCCA